CTCCCCTGTTGACTGTGATGAAGACGCTGTAGCAAATGATGACAGAGAGAGAAGCTTCTCGTAGTACTATGAATATAAGTGGCGAAGAGATATGAATGATAAAGATCAATTCTGACAACGTCAGCTAAATGAGTCACCTTTAAACTTCACAGAGGCATACAGTTTTGTTCTGCTGGACAGCTGACAACTGACTGCCCTCTTTGCATGAGCCTCATGGAAAAACACCCTCAAAAATGGTGTGAGTGAAGTGAAAAAGTGAGATAAAAAGTTGAAAGATAAAGTGTTGAATCTGGCTTGCAACATATCCCCAATCCTTTCTCTCTTGTTTTTTACTCCCCTTTAAACCTTTATTTTGTTGGCTGCATTTAGCATTTTGTTTTCCTGCTGTCATGTGACCCAGAACAGACCTGTGACCCATTTTTGGGTCATGACCCACCAGTTGAGAACCACTGGGCTGGAGAGAGAACTGACCCCACTGTGTCCCACCCTCAAACGCAGCAATACATTCCAGTCTAGACCCAGAAACCACCTGCCAATGCAGACAATCTAAATTTTGTGGTGGAAAAAAGAAAAAAAAAGAGTGGTGTGATGTAAAAGTAGTGGAATGAGGATGTATTTGCCTGTGGGAAAAAAAAGACTGAAAGTAGGCTGGCAACAGATGTGTAGGGCAGTAAAAGTGTAATTGAAATGCCAGCAGCAATGGTCTTATCTACCCGTTCCAGCAGCTACCTCGCGTCTGAACATCAGTTAAATGTCATTTTAGCCCTGGCTGATTCAGGCCGACCACAATCCCCCATCTTCTGTGACTGCAGCCGCTGATGGGAGGGGAACAGCGGGATGGATGGATGGGGGGGAGAAAGCAGTCACTGAAAAAAGGAGAGAATGGTTGTAATTGGATTTCGCTTGCACGCTGTTGACTTCTACACCTGGGCTTAATTGGGAATTTGATATGGTTTATCACAAGGAGTCATTTACAGTTTGGACATATCATTATTAGCATTGTCTGTACTATTTATACACTTCATATTTCATAAACTTCATTCTCTCATGATATTAGAAAATGGGTTTGAAGACAAATCCACCTGCCCTCAAATTGCCCCAGTCATGCTGCAGCGACCCCAGGTCTAGCTAGACTCATGACAGGTGGGTGAGAGGAGGGATGTGACAATGGAGAAACGCTGGCTGTTGGTAATGAGGCTTGAACCAGGCTGCATCCTAATTCGTATGTTTCTACTGCATAGTAAAAGTATGTATAATGTCTATAAAAACTACTACCAGTGGGGAAACTTGGGACTGTTTTGAGTTGGGCTATTGGTCATAATTATGCTTTAATTTCTATTCCATTCTTTAATTTCTATGCTTTAATTTAGTTCACAACTACATTTCCTATCATACTCAGTGGTTGCATTAGAATGTGCATTTTTGCTCTTCCTTTTTTATTTCTGTGATGGAAAAGCTGAATTTTCAGCAGCCATTACTCCAGTCTTCAGTGTCACATGAATAATAATTGTTTTTTTTTCCCAGATTATTTTCACTTATTTTTATCAATAAGTGAAAATAACATGAAATCACTCAATTCATTCTAAAAAAAAAAAAAAAACCTTTGCCGCATTACATTATGCCTTTGTTGTGTAATGGTTATACTTGCATGGTGCCATTATATCTAAAATAAATATTATTACTTAATTTGTAGGTTCGTTCATTTAAAATCTGCTTTTGTAGCTTTGGCCTCCCATTCCTTACCATTGTCTATGCCCTAAAGAAGTTAGAAACTCTTCCTTTCATGGTGCAAGGGGCTAAGGGTAATATTAGCCCAAATACCCACTGATAATGTTATCTATTCACCTTTGGAACCCTCATTTTTTTAACACTCTATGCTTTGGGACATGCTTGCCTCTATATTAATATACAGTATGGATTATATACAAATTGGAAAATAGCCAAGGTTTTCTCAAGGTCCCGATACAGTGCGATATGAGATGTGTCTTTTCACCTCACCTCAACATAACCTGACCTTCACTTCCTGCAGTGATGTGTTTCTTTTGCAAATCCAGCAGACAGTATTTTGTTATTCCTTCAGTTACATATGTTGAGGAAATGAAGAGAAACTCTCACATCTCTCTACAGTTTTGTCTCCATTGTCTTGCTTGTGTTGTAAGTTCACACAATCTTCACATTACGTAGTCAGCGAGATCCTGCAAGATTCTTTTAACACGTTTGGTGTCTCGTACAGCACTTCCTATTTGCGCTGCTAATTTTGAAACTTACTGTGAGGTTCTGTGAAGAGCAGCCCGATTGAGAATTTCAGATATTTGCTGAAAGTAGAGCTGTTAGTTTTGAAGTTTTTGTTTTGTTTGTATATTCTGTATGGTATTGATTACATAGCACTACAAATGGTTCCATCTGCCTGACACACAACAAATGATAAGAAACTGCATTATACTCAGTACCATCAAGTTGAAGTTTGAAGTTTTATTCATCAAATTCATAACACAGTGTACTATAGTGTTTGCAGACAATTTAATGAGCTATACTGACTGAGCTGACTGCTGCTGCTGCGTTTAATACAAAATTGTAACTACCATCGTTTTGGCATCTCTGGGGCATTCATGATTCAGCAGAATGGGCTGGATCAGATCCCTTAAGCAGACAACAAGACGGATTTGGGGGGGAAAGAATGAGAAATTCATGGCATAGAATGTAAATAATATATTAAAGAGTTTTGTTTTGGATCATTTTCATTGTCAACTCAATGAAATCTATCTATCTATCTATCTATCTATCTATCTATCCTATCTATCTATCTATCTATCTGTCTATCTGTCTATCTGTCTATCTATCTATCTATCTATCTATCTATCTATCTAGCTATCTGTCTGTCTGTCTGAGATATCTATCTATCTATCTGTCTGTCTGTCTGTCTGTCTGTTAATTAATTTATTTAAACATTTATTGTATGTCTGTTTTTTAATAAATGTATCATACAATTTTTTTACAGTTGTTTGCAAATTCACATTTTTATGATGTTTTTTTTTCTTTGCTGCTAGTGCTCATTTTCATACAATAAAATTACCTTGGTTCCATTTATTTATTTATTTAAACAAAAGCCCTCCATAAGTATTGGAACAGTAGACGAAATTGCTCTGTTTGCCGTGGAGTCAAGAAATCTGTAAATATGTTTAAAAGATGAATATGAGACAAAACTACAAATTGTCACATTTTATTATTGGGTGATTCAACACATACGTGTTTTACCAACTAAGAAGGTCAGCACTTTTAGAGTTTCATCCCCCTATCTGATGTGAGCATAAGTATTGGGACAGTTGCCTCACAGGTCTTTCTGAGTGATCAGCGGTGTCCTGTTGCATTAATTGTTAAGTTATTAAAAACAGGGAATGTGTCGTATCAGTTATATCCATTGCTTATGCATTCTGAGTCTTGCATTTGATGACGACACACACAAACCAGTATGAAGATGAGGGAGCTGACTTCGAGAGAAAAGCAAGCAAGTTGGATGCTAAAAGAAAAGAGGAAGTCAATTAGAGCTATAGCAAAAACAAATGGCATGGAGAAATTAAGAGTTTGGAAACCATTGGCGACATCAGCAAACAACAACGACCTGATCGGCTGAGAAAACCAACAGCAGTTGATGACAGGCAAATCATAAAAGCTGTGAAAATGAACTCTAAGATATGTTTCTGTAAAACCTCCAGAAAGCTGGGGTGATGCTCTGACAATCTGCTGTCCGCAGAAGACTTTCACACAGAAGTACAGAGGCTACACAGCAAGATGCAAACCTCTGATCAGCAAGTTTGCAAAAAAAGCAAAAATGTGAGCCAGTAGAGATTTGGAACAGAATTTTATGGACCGATGAGACAAAGATTAACCTTTATCTAAGTGATGGGAAAGCAAAAGTGTGGAGAAAAAGGCAACTGCAAATGATCCTAAGCATACAGCCTCATCTGTAAAGCAAGGTGGAGGTGATGTCATGGCATGGGCATGCATGGCTGTTTCTGGAACAGACCCTCTCAATTTTAATGATGACTTAATGTATGAGAACAGTAGCAGAATGACTGCAGGAGTGTACAGAAACATCTTGGCTACCAATCTTCAAGAAAATGCCACCAGACTCATCAGAAAGCGCTTCATATTGCATCAGGACAATGACCCAAAACACCCTGCCAGTTCAGTCAAGGAGTTTATCAGGGCAAAGAAAAGGAAAGTCTTAGATTGCCCAAGTCAATCTCCAGATTTAAATCTGATTGAACATGAGTTTCACCAGCTGAAGAGGAGACTAAAGGCAGAAACTCCCCAAAACAAGCAACAGTTGGAATTGGCTGCATTAAAGGCTGGGAAAAGCATTTCAAAGGATAAGACCAAGAGTCTGGTGATGTCTATGGGTCGCAGACTCACTGCTGTGATTGCGCACAAGAGATCTGCAACTAAATAATAGCTTTTAATCTTTTACATCTGCCTTAATTTCAACTGTCCCAATACTTTTGCTCACATCAGATAGTGGGATGAACTATAAAAGTGCTGTCCTTTTTATTTGGTAAAACATGTATGTGTTGAAACAGCTAATAATAAAATGTGACATTCTGTAGTTTTGTCTCATATTCATCTTTTAATCATATTTGAAAATGTCTTTACTCCACAGCAAGCAGAGCAATTTTGTCTTTACTGTTCCATAGCAAAGTGTCATTTCTTCAGTGTTGTCACATGAAAAGATATAATAAAATATTTACAAAAATGTGAGGGGTGTACAGTATATATATATATATACAGTATATATACTGTATATATATATATATATAGTTATCCCACCAATTTTTTTGATTTACCTGCCCCTTAATGTCACATACAAAAGAAGTTTTGTTTTTCAGTTTGCTCGCAAACTCTCTTTGTTGTTGTTTTCTTCACTGCTAGTGTTCGTTTTCATATATAATAAAATAACCTTGGCTCCATCTGACTACAAATGTCTGTTTCTTGTTGTTTCAGAGGGTGATTTTCAACATTGTGAACTTCAGCAAGACCAAGAGCCTGTACAGAGATGGGATGTCCCCCGTGGTGAAGTCGACCAGCCGGCCTAAATGGTATTCATACCCTCTGCAAATATCACATCTCCACCTACACGCTGTTCGCCACTGGGCTTTCCACGCTTTAATTCCAAATAACAAATCCACGACTTATCTTCTATGTGTAGCTTGTGCCTCTTCCCATTTATGTAACACAGGCCCGAGTATGGGTTCCACACAAGCCCTGCAGACACGGCCAATAAGACTTGACTGTGTACACTGTCATCATATCTGTCTGTCTTATCTCTCTGCTGCAAACAACAGGATTTTTCGTTACCACCTCTTCGGGTTTTCACACTGCCGGTGTTCCTTAAAGGAAGCATTCAACGCTTTCTCACTTTCTCTTCCTTCTCCAAGTTGACAATGGTGTGTTTGATGTTCCAGATGAGAGGTTGTGTTGCCGGGGATGTTTTTTTGTCTCCATGGTGATGCCGTCTGGGTAGAAAAAAAAGGGACAGTGACAGTGCTGTTGATAGAGGAATTATGAGAAATGCCAGAGAAGGAAGTGAGCTTCGGGCAGGACAAACTCCTTATACGTGACTGTTTACGGCACGTCACACTGGCACCATTTTCCCTAAACATGGCTTTATTCAATTCAATTCAATTCAAGTTTATTTGTATAGCGCTTTTCACGATGCCAATCCCGTGGCAGAAACAGAGAAGGTAATAGAGAAAAAGTAGCATAGCTGCTGTTCCAACTAAGCAAAAAATGATGTGTTCAACCCAAGCAAAAGAATGAAAATGTGCATTTGATCAGATGTAGCTAAAGTACAAAGTTATCCAAGGTACTACCAAGAGTCCAGACTTTTGCGACCTTAGGTAGCATGATGGATTGTAGCGTGATAGAAGGCTAGTTAGATATGCAGGAGCTAAGCTATTTAGGGCCTTAAAAGTAAGTAGTAATATTTTGTAACTGATATGGAACTTAATAGGTAGCCAGTGCAGAGACTGTAAAATTGGGGTAATATGATCATATTTTCTTGACCTGGTAAGGACTCCAGCAGCTGCATTTTGGACTACCTGTAGCTTGTTTATTGAAGATGCAGGACAACCAGCTAGCAGTGCATTACAATAGTCCAGTCTAGAGGTCATGAATGCATGAACTAGCTTTTCTGCATCAGAAACAGGTTGCATGTTCCGTAACTTGGCAATGTTTCTAAGATGGAAGAATGCTGTTTTTGTAACATGGGAAATATATATTTCAAAAGACAAGTTGCTGTCTAATATAACATGTAATATAACATTTATGTGTCTTTTAATCAGCTCGACTCTTTGCGCTCTGTCAGAGGTAGGAATGGTTTTATTAGAAGCACATCTGCCTTCGTGGAGTAGGAGACGCGTGAAAGACAAATACAGTCCCCTAGCTGTGTGTATTTTTGGATGTCTGTTAAATGGCTACATGCATTACATCAATGTGAAGATAAGATCAAATCCTTCCTGCTCCGTGTGGGTTCTGCTATTCTTCACGTATCTTCACGGCTTATTTGATATCTTTGTCTATACTTAAGCCAAACTCACACTACAAGTACAGACCGTTTCTTATTTACTGTCTTGTTGTGTACTTTTCTAATTACAGTCTAGTTGTGTCAGTTACAAGATCGTTCTAATCCTTGATTATTTATGATCCTGCAATTAGTTTTCACACAAATTTGCTTCTAAATTGTTATTTTTTAATGTAATGTTTTAATGAATGATTAATATAAATGTTTATACTGAATTAGTTTAAAATTCATAAAAACGAATAAAAGTTGGGGCAATTATCTTTTTTATATATATTAATTAGTGAAAACATTTTCTTTTTTTGAAAGTCACTTATTCATACCAAGGCTGATGAATAACACAGTAAAAACATTAATATATTTTTAAAATATATTTTAATGTAATTTATTTCTGTGATGACAAAGCTGAATTTTCAGCAGCCATTACTCCGGTCTTCTGTGTTACGTGATCTTTCAGAAATTATTGTTTTATGCTGATTTGGTGCTATAGAAACATTTATTTTTATTATCAGTGTTGAAAACTGCTTAATATTTTTGTGGAAACTGTGATACATTTTTTTTTCAGGATTCTTTGATGAATAGAAAGTTCATAAGAACAGCATTTATTTAAAATATAAATCTTTTGTATCACTATAAATGCATTTACTGTCTCTTTTGATCAATTGAATGCATCTTTGTGGAATAAAAGTTTTATTTTTAAAAAATAAATAAAAAATTCTGACCCCAGACTTTCGACCGGTAGTGCATTTACAAACATATCTTATATACTGTACAAATTGTAACTATATATATATATACATGGTTATTGCGGTTTATTTATTTATTTTTTGATATTTTACAGACGTTGAGCCATTTTTCACTAGTAGATTAAAATGAATTATTTTCCCAGCTTTCAGATTCTGGACATCATGTCAGCCAACAACATGGAGGATTTGTTTTGTGATCGGTTTTGCACAGATTCTCACACAGTTGGGAAAAGAGCTATAAGAGCTTTAATAGTCGGCTACGCCCTGGGGCTGTTTTCACAGACTTGTTCCAGCAACAAGTTTCAGTCCTGTAGTGTGCGAATGACTTGTGTGCCAGTGTACCTTGAGCACTTCCCGACAACTTTTGGAAAAGTTAAGTTTGGCAAATTCCACGTACCCGCACATGCACCGATACACACACACATCCACGCCTCCTATCAGTATCAATCAGAGTGGTGCATTACCATTCAAACACTCATCTGCCAGGTTGAATTTGCATGGACCATGCAGTCTGGACAGGTGAGGCCTGTCAGAGGTAATAGCAGGGAACTGATGGATGCCGAAGTGTGCGTGCATCCATACGGGTGCATGCGAGAGAGCCACTACGCCACGTTATCCTGACGCGCCGAACAGAGGTCATGTGACGGAGAGTACCCGCTCAACGGAAGCCTTGACATCTGTCACAAGTCGATCAAGGGCATTCAGACAAATGGCAGGCATCTGCCAAGGGAGCCTGTCTTCCTCTGCCAAGCCCTGGTCACGGCCTAATGGGACAAGACAATTAGATGGAGATGCTGCCGGAAAACAATGGACTGCAAAACATTTCACAGTCAAGTTGACGTCTCCTACGTGCCCGTGTATAACATTTCCCTCAGGAGTGTGCCGGGGTTATTTACGAGTTTGTGGCATGCTGTAGCTCACTCTTATTGCAAACCATTTTTTAGAAATTAATAGGGCTACGTCTGCACGTTATGATAAAATAATAATTAATAATTAATATGTGTGTTAGACTTGCTGTTTCGATGGAGGACTGTGACTTTACACATGTAGAGTTTTCACATGTATGTATCTATCTATCTATCTATCTATCTATCTATCTATCTATCTATCTATCTATCTATCTCTCTCTCAATCTCTCTCTATCTATATTTGAAAAAAATATATATAGGCTTAGGCAAATTACATAAATAACATAATAAAAATAAGAATAAGAATAAAAATAAAAATATGAATAAAAATAGTTTGCCCACAAATTAGTGGCTTAATTTGCAGCCATAAGTTGCAGCTCAATTACGACTTAAAAGAAACTTTTTTTTTTAGATATTGCATTGAAAAATGAACAAGACTGGCACATATCCCGGGCTGAACTCGAACCCAGGATGCCACAAGCACAAAACCTCTCAATATACCCTCTGTGTCACAGCTCCAACCATCAGTCTTATTTCTACTCTTTGTGACAGTTCTTTAACAGTAACACAAACTCAACCTTCCATTATCAAAAAATGAACTTTTTTGCTAACTGGAAATGGAGCAATTTTTGCTAACTTTTCATAGCAGGAAGGAGGCAGATTGACATTAGTCGACATTTATTTCCACCGTTATCAAAGTCATTGTCTGAATCATTTTTTTTTTTTTATACCAATCTGGAGCTCAAAGGACCGCTGTTTGTGTCAGGCTGCAGCATGCGGTGTGAAAATAAGCCTGTAGCATTTAGAGACTCTGAATACCCAGGCGAAAGAGACGGAGAACCTCTGTGTACAAATGCCACAGTGATAGCCATCAGATGGCGGGATCAGGGTGAGCTGATCATACCACGCACTGGTCGCCGCCGCTGCGGTGCAGACTCGGGCATTAGGACTTCAATAAGACGAGGAAAGACCACGTAATTCTCACACAAACGCAAAACGATCCTCTCCGTTTCGCATCCAATTATAGAGGTGTGAAAACAACATGCTGTGACACAAAGGGAGGCCTTACACACACATGCTCCTTTCTCACGACACACACAATCACACGTGATAATGGCTATATGTGCGGAGTGGCTATATGTGGTATTTAATAGATTGTGTGTGAAACCGAAGTAAAGGGGAAGGTTTATGTGATCATGTAGCACTCTATTGTAAATTAAGTTTTATGCTAGTTTCTGACTAGCAACAGCAAGTAGCACATTTTATTGTTTCAGTCCTAAAGTTTTTTAGTGTGTTGTGCCTAACGCTCATACTTTATTTACTTTCTCAGCCATAAATTGCTTGCAACGTAACTAAAGTTTATTCTTTAGTTTCTTCAGTGCTTTCATATATTCACTTCCAGAAAGAAAAAAAAAACTGATGGCAGTACCCTTTCAAAGGGTTCTAATATGTACACGTTAGGTACTAATATGTACTTTTAAAGTATTAATATGTACCTTTAATGTACTAATATGAACTATTTAGGGGTAAATAAGGTACAAAGATACCTTTTAGCTTTTGTTCCATAAAAGTGTAGTAGAAGCTTAAACTAAAGACTGTAGGCCATTTAAAAAAGCAAAGGGGTTGATCCCTTTCAATATGTCCCACCCAAATATATGGTTTCAACCAAATATGTGAGTATGCTTCTGTGATTCATAGTTGCTGAGGGGCAATTTCAGAAGACATTTGAAATTTGCAGACAAATAGTGTCATCTCAATGTTTTGAGCTTTAAAATCCCCAAGCAGCCATCTTTCATTTCTCTTGAGCATTTGGTTTGTATTGTTGTTGCCCATGAATTTCTCTTTCACATTATCCTTTTCGCTCA